TTCCTCTAGTAGCAAAGTCTCAATTTCCTATTTTACATTGTGTCATTCACAAAATAACATCCTATCCTTTGGAAATCCCCATCTATATTTTCTTCTACACAGGGTTACACGAGCACGAAATGTTTGCTGAACAAAGTGCATTTGTTGTTTAACATTATCAAGAAGGACTGATAAAACTAGTCACCCACTTCCTGAAGGGAAGATCTGCCATCAAAACAAGCATTTTTTCCACTAAGGGGCTAAGATATTTTTTTTAAGGAATAAACTTGGAGATGGTACCCAAGTCTTGGTATGTTTTGGTGATTTTAGAAGCTAGTTCTTGACAATTTGCAGAGGGCAAAATAATTCAGTCTCTGGAAATTACAGACTCCAAAGCCTTAAAACAATCCAAGCTCTTTATTACCTCCTTATACAATGCTAATTCCTTTAAACAGACATTAATGAAATTGTGGAAAAAATAATGGGGAAAAAAAATGTAATGAAAAAAAAAAAAATCCCACATTAAAAGACTACAGAGATAATCAGACGAATTATTAAGAATGCATAATGTTTACCAGGAAATCACATGTCTACTGAGGAAAACAAGGCATTCAGCTAAACCAGTCAAACAATTTAAAAAGATCTAACTTTTGACATCTGTAGGTATATAGTGATGCATCTGAACACATTTACCTAGAGTATTCCAGCATTACTCTTGCAGCTTGAAACTCAAAAGTAAGATGAGTATCTAATAAGATAGAAACATTGTAGGACAAGTTCTTGTGGCAATATGGTATGATGTAATGCTGGTTTTTTTGGGGGGGTTATGTGATTTTAAACTGGAAATAACAGAGTTGTATATGAGTAGATACATATGTTATAGCTATGCACAATGGCATTCCTTTATTGTAGCAAAGTCTATTCTAACTTTAAAACAAAACAAAACAAAACAAAACAAAACAAAACAGAAAAAAAAAGGAAAAAATATCAGTATGAACAACTAGATCAGAAATTCTATGTAAGCATGCTAGAGGAGCTGCTGAAAGCCTCATAAGATCTTAGAAGTGATACTTGTTTCCATGAATCTCAGATAAAACAGACTTGCCAGAGTTACCTCAACTAAAATATTATACAGTATGTTCATATTACAGCCTTGGTTGCAGCAGGTACAGGACCTGAAGTGAAAGAGACTGAAAGAAACAGGAAAGAAAGAGATCACTCAGAATCAGCAACAGATATCTACTGCCACTCAAACTTCTATGGTACACAAAACAATGAGATTTCCACCATTTCACATTTTTCTGTCTCCCACAGAAATATGAAATTAGTGGGTTAATTCAGGAACTATTTTCTTAATTGCCCACGATTTCTTCTCTTATGTTTCCATTCCTATTGCACGTACAGTGAAAATATCCAGAAAAGATCTTAGAAGTTTATTGGGCAGCAAACTCAATTCACTATGGAAGACGTAAAAAAGTTAAAATATCTTAAGCTTCTCTTTATTATCTTAATTTACGTTGCAATTATACAATGTAACGATACATTTTAATGGTTAGAAGGATGAATTCTTCAGGCTAGACAGAAGCTTAGGAAGAGTCAGCAGTGGCTCATGCTCTAAGATACAGGCAAGCTCTCCAGATGTATCTGACCACGTACCTGTGTACCATTTTCATAATTGAGCATTAACTCAAAGCAATATTTAAGTATTCACTTGCAGTGTGACTGAAATTGGTCCTGATGGGAATCTTCAAAAATAAGTATCTAAAGTATCTAGTGTATATGATTTGATTTTCTTTGCTAAAGATGCCATCCTATACAGTGGTAACATGTTACACAACTACTCTATACTCTCATTTCAGGTTCTTCCCTCTAGGCAAGTTTTAAACTTCAATGACTATATATCCAGCATCTTGAAACTCAAAATCTTCACAGAGCATGTGGCTGCTATATTATCAGGGACTTTCCAAGTATATGGAACAATTGGTCTATTTGAAACATTTCCATTTTACCATGTGTTAATTTTCTTAGTATTTTAAATGCTAAGAAAATTAAGAATATCCTATATTCTATTTAGAATTTTAAACCATCTGCAAGCATATAGTGCACCAGAAACATCTTAAAATTACATTAGCCTAGGAGGTTCTGTCTAAAGGACTAAGTGCCTTCTGCTTCTTTCATTGGTGACAAGAATCCATTAGGAAGGGCTTGAGTATAATTAGGAAGGAGAGAGGGGTGAGAAAAAAAACAAACAAACAGAATTTAGGAAAAACAAAATTAAGAAATACAGAAATAGCTAGCATAAAACATAACTAATGGAGCATATCAGGCATTTTTAATTGTTTCTTGCATTGTATAGTTTAGAAATAGTTATAAACCATAAAGGAAATTGTAAATTACTTAAATTGGTACTTCTCTCTTATCTTTTTTCCAGTTTATCAGCAGAGAAGGTTGACAATCTGTAAACTGTAGTTTTGGGCTTGGAATTGACGGATACTTAAATTAAAAGCATTAACCTGGCTTAGTTAAAAGAAAATGGCATTGGATCTATGAAATCAGGATGCAGCACAACTTAGGTAAGTCTTTGACCTAAAGAACACACCCTCAGATTTCCTTCAGCTCAGTTTATGAACTGTGACAATGCTGAGCTTGGTGTTAACTAATTTCTCCTCTAAAGAGTTGAATTAAGAATAATTTAGGCTATGTGTCAGTTTCAGAGACTTTCTCATTCTTACTAAATTTCTCTGTTTTTAAACCGTCTCAAAACCAATAGCACACCAACTTCCTCTATACCTTCATTGCTGTGAGCAGAGCTGAACTTTCCATATGCAGAAGGAAACTGTCATTTCTAAGAGCGTATCATTCAGCAGAGACTTGCAAGAAATAACCATTAAGTGAAAGAACAGCAGTAACAGCAACTATTAAAAAGAAAAAATGAAGATAGCGATGTATTTACTATTGTGTCTACAGCTTTTATTCATCAAGTGGTAACGGCACATACAAAAATCACAGCTGTAAAACACACCATACAACAACAAAAGAATAACCAGTAACCCCAACATCTTTGTAGAAAGGACAAGCAGATATCTGCAAAAATAACGATCAGGTGTGGAATAAGTTAATTAATTAACTACAGATTTACGCTTACGCAGCAAAAATTTATGTTTGTCCAGTGTTTCCACGTTTAGTGAAGCATCGAGAAGATTGTGAACCTGAAGT